TACTGTTTTCTGGCATTATGAAACCATACTAACGAAATGCATTTTCAACTTCCGGTTAATACTTAATACATCGAAATGCTCACTAGTGGTTATGGCCACCATTAGATCGGACAACGACAATGCATCTCCGGTATAAGGAAGCCACTAGGTTGCTAGTAAAACGTAGCGGGATCTGCCTCCATGGCCACATCCAGTCCCTGCGTTTTTCTTGGCCTTGGTTGTCTCCCCTGGATGCGTTGTTTAATTTCTTCCCAAAAAAAATCTTAATTGGGCTTTAATCTGTGCTAAGGGCAGGATGAGGCTGCAGAGTGACGCCATGGTGTTGGAGGAAATCCTGTGTAACACGGGAAGTGTGCGTGCAAGCATTATTTTTCGGGAACCGGAAGTTAAAATTGTGTCTATGTTGAGGGGCCTAAGAACTTCTGCTATGCAGCGGGTAGCATTGATACCTTGACCTCGACCTTGGCCTTGATTTTGGAAGATCATTGGTCCTACTCTGTAACTCCACGTGATTCCACCCCAGATCATGACGCGATGTCCTTCCCAGCGATTCCTCTCTATAACACAGTTGCCACGATAACGTTCCCCTCCCTCTTGATAAACTATGAGGCCCCTATTTGTTGCGTTGTATCTATGGAGAACAGACATTTGTCTGAAAATGAAAACAGAGGACCAGTCTCTCTGACGCCTGTTGACATGGTGCTGAGCCCAGTTGAAACGCTCTTGGTGATGTGTGCACATGCCGTCAAGACTAGACCATGGTAAGGTGGACGACGTCTACAGCCTATTTGACGCAATAGTCGGTTTACTGTGTGTCGACTTCTGGCTCTTCCGTGGGTACATCTTACGAAATCTGATGTTCTTGTAGCTGTCTGGAGTCGGTTTGAACGATACATCTGGACAATGTGTCTGTATGCACGTGCTTCGGTCACTCTGGGTCGACCTGGCCCTTTTCGGTCCGCCGCAGAATTCGTGAGCTGAAAACGGCTTATTATTCTGTGGATGGTCTAGATGTGAACACCAATATGATTGGCGGTCACAATTGGCCTTTCTCCACCCTCCAAACTACATATTGCTCTTTCTTGCAGTATAGCCCTAAAACGTGGCGTTGTCGTTGCAAATGCAGGCGAAATAACCGAACCGATTTTTTACCACGTGCTTTTATAGCCTAGCCCAGGTGAATATTTTTCACCCTATGTTCACTTATTTTGACCGTGTTTCGGAGGCACCACGTTACTTTGTCCTTGCTTCAATTAAGGGACAATAACTCTAGTTGTCGGTAGTAAACACGACGGGTGACGTGATTTCCAAGGAGCCTATGACATACTATCTATGGTGTAAACTTCAGTCTTCTATCATAGATGTTTTTTTTAGTTATAGCAAAAATAGTTCTTTTTTGTGTTTCTTTTGTTCGCTAACATACACAAACACACACTGTATACGTCTTGCCCTCCTCCTCCCTGAAAAAAAGCCCTGTCCTGTTTCCGGTTTCCTCTTCAGCTTCAGGCCTTGACCTACTTATTTCTTGAAAACATTAATGAACCACACGGAAAGTTGACAACAAACGAAACATTGTTATATTCCTTTTTTACATGGCAGAATGTTCGCGTAAAAAGAGTCCAGAAGTATGTAAACAATAGAGTATATTATTATCTTTCTTTTCGTGGAAGAAAGTGTCCATGGAAAGTATTCACCATGAACAAGTGTACAGGCCTAGTTTGAAACTTTTTTCTTAACTCAGCAGAATATGAGAGTAGACAAAAGTCGATGAAGATTCAAAGGACTCCTGTTGTGATCTACTCCCAGTTGACAGTCTAATGTGTGTGTATGGAATCCTCGTGAATATAACATAAAGCGCTTGTTTTATTACAACTGTCCCAGTTGTAGCATTGTGTGGATAGGAAGCCCTCGTATATAAAGCGGTTGTTTTTATTCTATCTACAGTTGCCAGAGTAAAGTGTAAATCGGAATTCTTCTTGAGCATCTTACACAACTCTGTTGGGGAGAGAGAGAGAGAGAGAGAGAGAGAGAGAGAGAGAGAGAGAGAGAGAGAGAGAGAGAGAGAGAGAGAGAGAGAGAGAGAGAGAGAGAGAGAGAGAGAGAAAAGTTCATGTCCGTGTTGTTTGGGTACGCTTGTGTGAGTTTGCATCGTTGCATGTATAACATTGTACATAAGTACTGAGTACATTTCTTTATTGATGCTCAGTCTTTGTATGTTTTTGTTCTGGTATATCCTCTCCAAATTGCCTCCATGGATCAATAACATTTATACCTTATCTTATCTTATCTTATAGTATCTTATCTTATAGTATCTTATCTTATCTTATTTTACCTTATCGTACCTAATCGTATCTTATCTAATTTTATTTCATCTTAACTCATCTTATCCCATCTTATCTAATCTAATCTTATCTTACCCAGTTGTCCGAGAAGCCCCACTGTCCTCAGGCATAGAGGCCACCACAACCTTCACACAGCTGTTTGTGACGACCAACACGAGCCAAAATTGCGCCCAAATCTCCAGACAGATCTCAAGGTGACGCTGCTGCATCTATAACTACATCACCAGCACCAGCGGCCACAACAGCAGCAACAACAACGCCAGCTGTCGTTTTTTCAGCATCAGCAGCACCAGCATCCTCGTCATCAGCAACAGCGGCGGAAGTAGAAGCAGCAGCAGCAGTATCGGTTGATACAGATCATAGCAGTAGGATCAAGATTCGATCTGATAGTCCAAAATCCTCTACAAACACGAAGCAGGGTGAGGAAAAGGAGACTACCGTTGTGAAAACTGAGCTTATTCCCCTACTACCGACATCGGGGAAAAACCGACCCTCGCACCTCACGACTTTGACAGATTATAATTATAATGGATGCGGTTTACACGTGGACCAAGAGTTACTCCACCTGCCAAAACTGAATGGATTTGGAGGAAAGTCTCAAAGAACATTTGTAAAAACAGACCCGTCTCCGAACGTCTCAGCAGTGACCGGAAATGACGCACAAGAGGGTATATTAAACCGACGAGGAGTGGGAGGAGATCTAGAACCGCAGGCGCCGAGGCTCAAACCAGAACCTTCCGCTCATACAACTAGGGGCGTTCCTCCATTCCTGGCAGTACCTGCTGGGAGAACCTTGACCCCGGCCCGTTCGCCCTTGACCTCTGCTGCTGACACAAAGACCGCGACCTCTGGAGCAAACACAAACGTTGTGACGTCAACCCCAACCGCCACCACCACCACCACTCCATCCAGTAGACCACATTTCCCAGCCATCAAAGCGTCTATCAAGAATTTTTTCACCTGCTCCTCCGTCCTCACCCCTCCTCCAATCACCGTAGCCGCCATGTCCGCCTCTGTCTTGTCCCGCGCCTACCCGGATGTGTCCAGTGGGGGTCCCAGCGCCCCTGGAACCCCGCGGGCCTCCTCCATGAGCCTCAGGCCCCCCGTGACCGCCATCGGCCTCCCGACCTCCAGCCTCAGACACGGGGACAAACCCAGACTGTTGGGGGTTCCCGGATCGGATCTAAGGTAAGTAGGGAAAAGAAAAATATCGCCCCCCCCCCCCGCCCCCCAGCAGACCATTAGACACTCAGAAACATTCTCAGCTTCCCGGGAAGCATACAGTGCAAGCAGCTGTTTAAAAAGCGCTCAAAAACTAACAAACTGACAAGATCTTTCGCTGTCTATAGCTGGGTACCCATTCCCGCCTGGGTGAAATGAGGAAAATTCGTGTTAAGTCAAGGACACAACGATGGGCCTCTGACTGGATTTGAACCCACAACCTAAAGGTTGCGAGTCCGAGAGCCTATAACCACTAGGCCACTGACGTCAATAGTAATAGATCGTATACAAAGGCGGTGGTGTAACACAGTTTATATGCACTCACGCAACAAGACAGAACATAAATTTTAATATAAAGGACTGAAACACCCCCGCTCCATAAACATTCTCTCTCTTTCTCTCTCTCTCTCTCTCTCTCCCTATCTCTCTCTCTCTCTCTCTCTCTCTCTCTCTCTCTCTCTCTCTCTCTCTCTCTCTCTCTCTCTCTCCCCCTCTCTCTCTCTATTTCGTTCCCTCTGTGCTTCAGTTGTAGCGCTTTGTGTCCTGTAGCCTCATTTCAGTTGTCTGTTCTCCTGTTTCTAGATCAGAATGTCAGACTATTTTGTCTTTGAACTGCTTTGTGCCCATTCTACCGGTCTTTCTGTCCAGATGGTCGGAGTCGGAGACCGTCTGTGGTACTTTTTACTTGTTTTCTTCCCCTGTGTTGCTCCTCTATGTCTTTCTTGCAACCTCCCAGTTCTAAATCAAAGTTATTGTGTTGATGTACTTCTCATTGCCGAAAGGAACAATTTGTTTGACCGTGTATATTTGGGCACTCATCTCCGTCGCGCTACTGAGTGGATGGCTCTGGTTCGAATCCCCAACTGTGTGTGTTGAACTAGGGTTGTTTTGGGGAGTTCTAATAAGGCTTTCCGCCCATTTGGCTAGGTCCTATCAGAGACAGAAGTTACATTTAGAGCCCCCACCCTCTAAATGGCCTTATATTAAAGTTGAAATGTGGGTTACATTAACCTAGACAATGTCGCATATATTTTTATTTCGTCTCTTCTTTTCCTAAGTGCGTCATTAATTGCTCTCCCGTTTCTTGCAAGGCAAATACAGGGTGATCCCCAAAAAAACTCTACAACTTTTTTTCTGAATATCTCGACCAAAATTTGTTCTAGAATGCTGTGATTTGGAACAGACACAATTCATTCAAAAGGAATTTGTTTGATATTACATCCGCGAAGAAAAAACATTTTTTGAAAATAAAAACGGCTTAAAGAAAAAAGCACCCCAAAACGAAAGTTCAACAATGTTTAAAAATCTTGTAAAGGAAACCGTGAAAAGACTAGTTGACCTTTTTCTTTACTTTCTCTTTGACATTAATTTTCCATCCCTGTGACATTTAAACAATATTTAATTTCTTTTACAGAGTTTTAAAAACCTAATGACTTCATTCTGAAATCCCTAGAAGCAGTGCTCCACATTCCCTCCTTTGGACTCAGCACATATTTAACACGTCGTTCGAAATGTTCAGTGGCGCCCTAATACAGGGACCTGCTAAACCATGAGTTTTTAAAGCCACATACACTGTCCATTTTCACTATGAAGTGGTTTCTAGAGACAATAGATTGAGGTGCCCAATAGACAGTATTTTTGGAGTTGACATATACCGAAGGGTGAAAATGGGCTTTGCACTAAACCAAATGTCATCGAGGAAATGATCCCTCTTTACAAGGCAATCGAGGAATGATGAACACATTGCCATGCTCTGATTCATGTCATCTCGGCCTAGCGAAGATGAACATGGTATAGTCGTAGGTTAAACCTGCCATGAGAATGCAGAATGTTGATGTGTAGGAAAGTCCTAGCTGCAGACCGTCTACGCACAGACGTCTCATGGGACTCGGCTACTGAAATCTGAACTCTGGTGACGTTTAAAGGGCTGCGCATGGTGCGTGTTCGACCTGAAGTGGTCATTTTTTAAAGAACTTTTTAGTTCTGATTTGCTATAGATCCAAACTGATGGAACTTCTCTTTTTTTGACGCCAAAGGACTTGAGTGCACCTAAGCATTCTCTCCATGCCGTACGCAGAACTTACGAAATGTCAGGGATGGTGAGTTTGTAGAGAGGTAATGTTCAATACAAAAAGCTCTCTGCTCTTTACTAAACGTAGCCATGATCTCAGCAAGCAAACAAAATTTAGGAAAAATAATATCTGCAGACTTCTGTTGACTTGTTAACTGCTGTAGCTTGCAGTATGGCGCGATTGTTGCAACTTTTAGTGGTAAGCCTAAAGCGAACTTGTGCGTCATACTATGAAAATGGCGACAAGGTTGAAAATGGGTTGGTTTTTTTAATGCGCTATATAGAGCAAAACCATTCGATGAACCTATCTGAAATATATATCAGACAAATTCCTTTCGGCTTCCATACGTTATGTTCAAATCTGAAACGCACAACTTCAGTATGGAGGAAGATATTTACAAAACAAGTTGTAAAGTTGTTGTTTTTTATCACCCTGTAGATTAATTTTAGTTTTAGTACGAATTTTTACGCCCCTTACAAACAAATAAGTCATAAAAGTACCGAAGATTTTTACTCTGTGATTCTTGTTTACTGTCTATGTTCGGGCTTGGTAGCACAGCGTTGGTATAAAAAACCTGTTAACGAATTAGTGCTCTTTGGTTTTCTAGTCTTTCAGTGTGAAATTTGAGGTCGTATCGGCTGTTTGAAGAAGGAAACAGCCCTCCTAAATTGTGTCAATGGGGATGTAAAACATTTACGATAAGATCAAAGACCTCACCGTTTCTTCTGTCCCCAGGATTACGTTCGCCTCTGACACCTCGTTCGTGGAGAGAAAAGGGAGAATCCGACCAAGCTCTAAGCAAACAGCAACGTCCTTGAACTTGAGGCCAGTTCAGGGAATCGAAAGGTCACTCAAGTCCAGAGCGAGGCTGCCTAAAGCGACCACACCCACACACGGCAGGTGAGGCTCAGAGTAAAACGTTTTCTGTGCACCAATTACATGGTTTAATAAGGTATTCAGTCTACAAGTCTATCTTGGCCTGACATTGTGTCCTTGGGAAAGACACTAAATACGAATTTCCCCAACCTCACTCAGGTCCAAACAGACACCCAGCAACAGACAATGCACGATCCTGTTAGTATGTTAGTGTTTTAAGTTTTGGTGCTTGTAAAACGGCAGCTTGCATTGTATGCTTCCCAATAAGTTGAGATCGCTTCAGAATGCTATCAGGTCTGCTGGGGTGATAAAATAGATTGTAAAACGCATATTACTTCCCGTTGAGTGGGAATTTGCCCTGCACATGCTGCTTATTGATTATAACTATTATCTATTGGTTAAGCTCTTGGGATTTGGCAGGGTGTATGCAAACGAACAAAACCCATAAAAATTAACAAATTTGTTCATCTTTTATGTTACTAGCACATCAACCCGTTCATAGAATGGGGCAAGACAATCTTAGCAATAGAAACAGCATTAAGAGAAGGCAGCATGTAGATGACAGTATACATAACAACAAATGCTAGATTTGAATTGAAAGCTCTTACGTTTTTCCTAAAATGTATTGCCTCTGCGGTGTTTTGAGTCAGAAGATCCTTCAGAATTGTCGGAGGCGGGAGTAAAGGTGGTAAATTCACCTGTCTATTCATGTAGCAAATAGACTTATTTTCTTCCTGAAACAGTTATGCAATGCACAATCGACAAATTAATGTCATTCTGGAAAGTTCGTGAGGTGGAAGCGGATTGTCTGCGCTCTCATTTAGAGCTGGTGGACGCTGTTTTCGATTAGACCGATCATGTCTATGATTTTGATCAAGATTTAGATCGATATTATCTTGCAACGGTAGATCTAGACCTGCTTGCCGTTGGATCTGGCGAGATCGGCGTCTGACCATATCTCGAGATGGGATTTTCTTAATCTGTCTAGATTTCATTAAACTCAACACCGCACACTTTTTTTTTTATAGCAAGCACGGTACTGTGCTAAAACCATAAACAATATAGGGTGTCGTTGCTGAGGCTCAGCCAGAAATTTCCGAGGGGGAGGGGGGGAGGAGGGGAGGAGGGATACAGTTTGGGCAAACCCAAAAGCGGGGGTCAGCAGAGTGCTAAATTTGAAACGCTAATGGGCATGACACTGGGCACCCCTCCCCCTCGCCCCGTGCAGGTCCATTGGCAGAGCCCCCCCCCCAAACCCCTGCCTTTATACACATACATGTCTTGTCCTTTTTTCGGGATTTGTTATAAAATAAAAGAGACGGCCTCGATCAGCTTTTATTGAGAAACAGTTCAGTAGTTTTAAGGCAACGTTTTGGGGGGTTGTAAACTGAGTAATATAACCATGGTATTTAATGAAAAAGCGACAGCAAATTGAAGCGCATGCGATATCAGTGACGGAAGATATGAAAGAAATTTTACTCTTTGTATATCACAATGAGTCAATCAAAATAAACCAACTGTCACCCACAAACCACTGAACTGAAAACAACTCAGTCTCGCGGCTCATGCAGCCGGGTTAAAAAAGAAAAGAAAATTAGATTTAAACAAAAAAAAACAAACTAACTCTTAACTTCCGCACTTGGTCTAATAAAAAATCCCTGCACAGACTGTTAATAAATACTAATGATTATATAGAAAACACCTCTTTATATTTGTCGAATGTGCACGAAAATCGAGATTGTTTAGGTTTGGGGGAATTCAGAGGCACATGCAAGAAATCAGGACAATTCGCCTCTTAGTTTCTATGTTATGAGGTCTAAAAGTTGTCCATTTGATGTTGTCCGAGCTATAGTCACGTTTTGGTTTAAACTTCGCTCACCTCTGGTCATGTTTTGGTTTGAAATGAAAATAGAATTCGGAATATCCGCTGTTCCTTTTTTCTCCCTACTCGTGAAAACACAGCCGCTAAATTTATTTTTTTTTCTCTCAAAACATTAAAACACAGTTTATTATTAATAATTGCATTATTGTGGGGTTTTTTTATGTACACATGCATTTTTTGTCTATTCTGCGAACGACTTCGAGATTTTGCGAGACATTGGGCTCGCGGCTGTTCCTTTTATACCATTTCCTCCACTGCTTACGATCAAAAAACGTTTTTAAAAAATACCTTAATTGTTGGACTACCAAAGTTAAAAGGCACAAGTTGGTGCTATTATGGACAAAGTGTGTAAATTTCCATACTTTCTGTGTTGTAGTAACTTCTGTAGCTTTGACAGACCTCTGGAAACCTTATAGTGTTATAGTTTCTTTTAAATAATAGATATTATTTAAAACGAAATCCGAGTCCCTGTGACTGCATACTTTCTTATGCTCTCCGAGGGCACATCAATGGTAGTACCGCAGCCAATGAACTTATATCTGAGGCGTCGGTACTGCTCGCTGTGGGCAATGGGGGGAGTAAGTGTTGGATTGGAGGGATAAGGGGATTTTGGGAAAATGGAGGGAAAAGGAGTATAAGTGGGTCAGGGGAGTGGGAAAAGAGGGGAATGGATGGGAAGAGAAGGTGATGGGGAGGTTGGGGTGGGGACATCAAGGGGTGGGGTTGAATGGGGATGGAAGTTGGCTAGGGGTAGAGTATGGAGGGGGGGATGAGGGGTAGGAGCAGGATGTTAAGTTGAATCATCTTCAACAATTTAATATCAGTCAGACATAATATATAATTCAACTTGTATTCAAACTCAGATTTAAGATTGTTTGACTTGTCAAACGACCTTCTTTTTCAGAAACACAGCTGCGAGCTATGAGGAACACATGAACCCCCGTAAAGCCCTGGACATCGCACGGTCCTATGGCGTGCCCAAGTATTTTCTCCGCGGCAACTCGCAGATCCTCACAGACGGTCGCATGAGGTTATTCGGCGACAATGTCTGGAAGAAGGAGCGGACGAGCATCGACTCCGAAGGCAAAACTACCGACTCCTCTGACGTCATCCACCGACTTATGGACAGTGTGGACAAAGCGATCGCCACCGCCGACAAGGGCCCGGGCTCGTCTTCCTACTCGGGCGGGGATGACGCGGGGTTGAAGCTGGAGGTGATCAGCCTGAAAAGTACCACAGAAGACAGGGCGTCCTTGAAGGAGAGTCTGGTCAGTCTACCGGATGTCCTACAGACCGGAAGTACTAGGAGTGGGTGGGACGAGGGCGGACCGGAAGTGAAGGAATCAGACGCTGGATACAGCAGCGGTGCAGGTGAGGGTACTATGGACGGTCTGGACGAGAGGGCCCAGGATGTTCTCGATGGTCTGCCTCAGCCCCAACACGGCGGGTTCGGAAAGAAAGATCTTGGCAGTTTCCGGCCACACACGGTAGACACTGCTGTGAGCATCCCGCGACATCTGCCCAAGGTTACTTTCCGTGAACCAGAAGACAGGGAGAGGAAGGATTTGAGACTGGGAGAGAATGAAGAAGGGGATGCAAACAATTTTAGTAATGTCCCTATCACACCACAACTTGCAGGCCTTCGAGTCAAGCATCTAGCTTCAACATTTAGAACAGGCACCGCGGATTCTCTCACTTCTAACAAAGCCAACCTGTTCGGCGAGAAATACCAAAACGTTTTACCCCGATTTTATCCAGCCCTCAGCGAGCACAGAAACAGACAAGCAGAAGCGGAGAAAAGTGCAGCAGCCAATCGTCAGGCGAAAAAGAAAAGCGCCCAACAACGATTGGTTCGTTTCGCTGACACCCACACGGTTCGTTTTGCAAACGAGGCTGTGCACCGGGAACCGATCAGCGGCCTCGTAGCCAGCCGCGCTCCAGTTCAGAGCGTACAGAGGTCATTGGATTCTCACTCGGGCTTGTCTCAGTCAGAGAAACTGAGGGCCAAACTGAAAGAGATCAGCGACTACAACAGAGCCAGGTCCATCAGTGTGGGAGACAGGCAGACTCAGGGAGCCAGGAGAGACAATAGCGAGAACATTGAGCCACGCAAGGGCTTCCTCTTCCAACTTCACTCTTCTTATGCGGAATAGATCTAGTAACTTTTGTTATTAGCTAGACACTTTAAATTATCACGTGGAAAGTGACATTTACTCAGAGAAGCCCTTTTATGTGGAATAGTCAGTCTTCTTGTGTGGATTAGCGACAATTACTTAGACTAATTTTATGCCGATTTTTATTCGGATTCGTGTTATTTTTATAGATAAGTCGCCTTATGTGCATCAGGGATATTTACCCCCCACCCCCACCCCCCGACAGCTTCTTATGTGGATGAGTGTCTTTTGCTTTGACAAGTCACGTATTATGTGGAATAGGGACATTTGCCAAGACAAGGTCTTCTGATGTGGAATGGTGGCATTTGCCTAAACAGGTTTTCTCATGGGGATTGGTGACATTAAGATACAGAAGTCTTAATCATAACCAGAGACATTTGTCCAGGGAGCTGTTCCTATAAGGTGATATTTGCTTTCCTTTGCAGAATAGAGACATTTCATTTCACCAGTATAGCTCTTATTTTTTCCCGAATACTAGTATAAGGTAACATTATTATACAAGTTCCTCATACACGGACCAAGATGCTCTGCCCAATAGTCCAGGAAAAACGGCCTTGGCTGAGAATATGTCGTTAAGAATTATTTTCTTTACCAAGTCAACTTCTTACTAAAGAAATGTGAAAACTTTTGAGACATCCCTAGTTATGCGGATTAGTCACATTTCGATTCGACATAACCTTCTCAAAGCGTAGTAGTCTCATCAACCACAGTTAAAGTCTTTGTTACTATGAAAACAGTGGCACATACGAGGATAACCAAGTACCAAATAGTCTGCTAAACTACCATAATAATATTATAGGACAGTGGCGTCAACCAACACGATTTCTCTCTCTCTCTCTCTCTCTCTCTCTCTCTCTCTCTCTCTCTCTCTCTCTCTCTCTCTTTATAGAAGTCTATATTATAGCTTGAATATTTGCATGAAGTACAAAGACTTTCCTAAAAATTATTTGTTTTTCAGTTTTTATTTTTACTTTTTTTCTGGCGTGTAAACTGCTCTATAGGATGTGCTAATGTGCTCTGCAAATGCTTTGGTGTTACGATCAGTTTTCTGCCAGAGTAATTTTGCTGTAACCAGAGAAAAGTGATGTCCATAAACACCCCTTCCACCTGCCCCATTTTCCCTCCCGAAATTTTATATTGGTGTACATATAAGACACAATAATGACATACATTATAACATCTTAAGGAATGAAGTCTTCGGTCATGATTGCTCTTCAGGCCAAAAGAGCTCATTTTACTATCGTTTTCAAGCCTTACTTCTACTGAGATTGAGTTTAGCGCCATCTGCAAGTCTTCGTAAAACTTTCTAGGCTTTTCATGATTCATTACTTTGACTGCTCCCGGAGGCCAATCTCTAAGTATTTTCACTGTACACTGCACCTGTAGATATCTTATTTGAAATACATTTTCTTTGATTAATCCTTTTTCTGTGTTTCAATCGCAAAACAAAAGGACATCATTCGGTTTGGGGTTTTTTGGTCAAAGGTATAACCTGCAGAGTAAGTTTGTTTTGGTTTTAAGAAACAGGTTGCTTTTTTTCGCATTGCATTTCAATATTCAAGGGATGGCCGTAACAGACACGGTCAAAGCATTCGTCCGCCGAATAAGTAAGTTGTGTTGACGAGGACGTACAATGTGACAAGCCCACAATCAATGTACAGGGAGCTGTGTTCAGCACTAGCAAAGCCAACTGGAGTAAAGTGGGGGTGAAAACGGGACAACCTTGTTCTCCAAAACTGTCTCTTTCCCCTGTTAAAATGGTCACAATCCCCGCCCCCCCCCAAAAAAAAACCCCCACAAACAAACCCCAAAACAACAACAAACAAAACAAACAACAACAAAAAACAAAACAAAACAACAACAACAAAGAAAAAGAAGAAGAGAAAGAATAACTAAAATCTTAAATGTAGATATTTCTTAAAGCAAATGTGGACACAAATTAGATCATTTAGGAGGCGGGCTTCCAACGCTGCCTGTCATGTCTAACCCGGGCTGAGAGGGATTCAACAGCCCGACAGAAAGACCACTGGTATACATGATGTTGTCACAAAGGTGTATGGGCACTCTCGAGGGCCCATTTGGTGACATGTTACGCTATGAGGCTGATCTCACACATACTTCGTGTGTGTACATGTGTGTACATGTGTGTACATAAAAAGATTCCCTTTAGTAAATTAAAAGACCTACTGTGACATGATATGGTCTTTACTCACCTACTAATGCTATCCAGTCATTTAAGAGGCAGAGCCTCATATCATAGTTTAATGTCCATCTCCGATTGGACGAAAGCAAGTTTCGTTATATGACAGGCTCTATTTGAGGTTCATTTGAGGAAGTTATTTTGTTTTTGATCATATATTTGTGTGTGTGTGTATGTGTGTGTGTGTGTGTGTGTGTG